TCTTTCAAGGCAAAACAATTGTCCTTGTAGGGGGATCAGGAATTAAGCCCTTCCTGGAACGCTTCGGGGAGCGCTGTCAGGAGCGTAGTGCACGGAGTCCTGCTACGAATACTGCGGGGTGCAGAACACCCATTGTTACCCCAAATACAAGGACAATCCAGGAAAGGCTTCTCAAACAAAATGAAAACTCCTCTACTGCCAGTTTAGCTCTTCAGCTTAAGCAGGTATGATTGCTACATTCATAGCTTGTTTATAAGCTTGGGGAAGATTTTTACTGTTCTGCACCTACCTGAGGAATTTTGAAATATTGTGACATCTTAAAGCTGTCAGTTTTCCCCCGTTCCCCTTTTATTTGCTTAGGAACGTGAACGAGAACTTGCGTGCCTTCGTGGCCGGTTTGATAGGGGCAATCTGTGGAGCACGGAAAAAAGTGAAAGTTCCAAGAGAAAACTTCCAGAAGCTAAAATGGTAACGTGTTATCTCCATCTATCAAAAGATGATAGTCTGAATTGCTTTAACGTGTTCTGAACACGGGGATAGGTGTGCAAATATAAATAAAAAATAAAACCTTATGATTTGTGAATGCCCAGGCTGTGCAGAATCGCTTGTCAAGTGACTCGTGTGATTATTAACAAATTATTGATTTTTTCCTCCTCCAGAATCAGTTAAGGAGACAAATGATACTGCTTTGAGCCAAATGACTTATTATTTTGATGATGTTAGGTGTGGTTATTTATTTTGTATAACTTTAAAAACAAAAGAAAGCTCCTAACACGAACACTTAGTGTAGTATTTCATCTGAATGTCTTGCATTAAATAAATAGGATCCTCCTTAACATTGGCTAGGCAATCTCTTTTTCCTAGCAGGTGTTAAAATGTGTTTCTTTCTGGCAGCTTTTTTTAGTCACTCTGAACATCACCTCTTGAATGTACTATGTTTTTAATTTTGCCAGGAAAGCCAATCTCGGGCTAGTCCAAAACGTCCTCCTGGTTCAGATTCCACCACTTTTGGATCAGCAGAAGATACACCAGCAGTTGACAGGCCAGCAAAGTCTCCCAGTGTAGAGTCTTCAGGTAAGGACTGTCACTATTCACCTGTGGCTAATACTGGACTGGATCACTGCCCTTTGATGCTCATGAGCAGAAAAAGAGGCTGCGAGCACTGATGTATAGATCTGGACCTCTTATTTGGTTACTGATATGTCTAAATCTTGTATGATAATAATACTCTGCACTTCTGTACCACTTGAAAGATTGGCAAGGCAGAGTGCCTTTTCCTTTCTCAGTGGGGCTTCATACTTTCATGTATGGTAAGTGTAGGGAGAGTGAATGAGAGTTATAGATTTAATCTGTACTGTACCTGAGTATCCAAATTTCCACAGTAATCTGATGGAAGGAACTCTTCCCTTGTCAGTATCCCCTTATTAATTCTTATAGCAGGGGGTGTGAAAAGAATTCTGAGGTGCTCCTGACATACTTTCTGGTGCTTACTGAGTAGAAGAGCCTCCAGTTCTCTGTGAAAAAAGGGTGAACTTAGTGCTTCTTCTAGACATGGCAAACAGGCTATCAAATATGTTTCTAGAAAAACAGGATGATATTCTGCTCTTGGGTTGGGTTTGGGTGTGTGGTTTTTGTGGTGGATTTTTTTGTTTTGTTTTAAATTTTCCCTTTTTGCTCTTGAGTGGCTGCACTCTGACTATAAGATAGAAGTCTAGCTGTACAGGTTGTGTATTCTAATGCTTTTTTTTTTTGACAGCAAGGTAACTGGAATACTTAATCTAGCAAGCTTTTTGTAAGTTGTCAGCTATATCATCAAACTTCCAAAATTCAACAGGAAAAAAAATAAAAAAAATTCGAAGGCAAAACATAATCTTCAGTGACTTCTTTTTTTATCAACTACTTAGGTGCTCCTAAGTGTGAAGAGACTGACAAACCCAGTCCTCTGAAGATTGCTGAGCCAAAGAGCCCTGTCGAAGCAATATCTGTCTCAAAACTTGAACAACTTGCTGAGAAACAGAAAGGTTTGTATTGAGTAGATGTATATTAATGCACTTGGCTATCTGTTGCCACTTGTCCAGAAGAGCGTTAATATCCTTCATGTCTGAACAATGACTTCACCATACATCTGCTGACACTCTTGTGTGTTGTAGTGAGGTTCATCTAAAACAAATCAGGAAACTTTTAGCATAACCCTTCTCTCTTGACATTCAACTCTTCAAGGAGTATTAAAACGCTGATGTTAAAGTTTACTGGGAAAGGACAGAAATAACTGCTCTACATGGGACTTGCAGTTCAGTTTCAGACCCGTTTGAACTAAAATGTTAAAACTTGTCTAACAAGTGTATATTTTTATTCCCTCCCTGTAACACTTATGCAGTATATGTGACAATAGTATATTAAAATAAGGATGGAAGTGTACTTCAGGGTTCTATATGCCTGACTAATAAAAAGTGCTTTTTAATCAAGTTTACTTGAAAAGCAAAAATAGTTGGCTTATCTGTTAACATGCCTCTGTTCATTTAATGGAAATGAAGAGCTTGGTCTCCATGGTACTAATATTTTTAAAATATCACCCTTCAGATGAAGTAGATGAAATTGAAATGAGTGTGGATGACGAGATGAATAGCTCGAAAGTGATAAATGAAATTTTTGAAGTTCTTCAAGAGGATAGTCCAGACATAGAAAAACTGAAGAAAGAAATGAGCATGAGCCTGGAAGGTGAAAGTGATGAGGATGAGCAGGAAGAGTCACTGAATATTTCGTCAATGTCTTTGTTAACTCCTCTAGTGGAATCTGTTGGTCCAGAGGTGAGGGTTCTTTGGAGGTGGGGAAGGGCTTGTTTGTCAGAGAGATGTAAAACTTGCTTATGAACAGTGATATTTTGTTGTATTGTGATACCTGGGAAAATAGAGAAGTTACAAATGACCTTTTGCTAATGAAAACATAATGAAGTAAACTTATTTTCCTCTGAAATTAGCATAGCATATTGGATGTTCTGCGACACAAGTGGATAAACTTCTGATAAATCAAGTTTGAGTATATACATCTATTAATTGTGCTGGACTTCCAGAAGTATACGTGCATTCAATGAAGTGGTTACCGGGGAAACTCTGAAGAGAAATAATCATGTAACTGTAGCAATTTGGAAACAAAGGGTGAAATATCCTCGAGTTCAATGATCTGTTCGTGTCTCTTAAAATAAATAAAATAGCTTGCTCCATGTCCTAGGAAATATTTGTAAATTGCCTGTTAAATAGTATTAAGCAGCCTCCAAATTTACTGTTTATATGTAATTGCAAAACAAGTAAAGGTGAGAGGAAATGGATAATGATGAATGTGGACAGATATCTGTCATATAACCTTTTTTTCTCCCCAGGCCTTTGTTTCTCCTTGTAAGTCAATTGGTGAAGGCAGCAGTACAAGTGATGTAAGTCTAAAGTCTGAGAAGTTCCAAAGGACTAAAGTCCCCAGGGCAGAATCTGGAGACAGTATTGGCTCCGTGTCAGAAGATCGCAACCTTCCATATAGGTAATGAACACAAAAAAACACACCTGATTCTGTAAGTGTGCAAATTAAGACACTGTCTTTTTTAACTTTTCTAATGAAATGTGCTACCTAAACTACAAACAAAGCTTTTTTTCCAACATCTTGGCCTTTATCAAAGACTATCTGTGTAGTTTTTATATTGCTTAAACCTAAAACGAACTGATAGAATACTTTTTTTTAAAGCCATTTAGGCAAGTTGGAAAACATCAATACCTGATACATCTGTATTTATATTAAAAAAAAAAAAAACAGCTTGCCACACTTACAAAACATTAATGGCATTTCCTCTTTTAAAAGTGTTGATGCATATAGATCTCAAAGATTTAAAGAAACTGATCGTCCTTCAATAAAGCAAATCATTGTTCGCAAAGAAGATGTTGCTTCCAAACTAGAAATGAAAAAGAATGGCCCATCTGATCAAGTCAATATAAAAAAGAAAATGCAGGTATCTAATACACTTCTTCCAGTCCTTTTTCTGATTTCCTATTCCTTTGCTTAATTTCCCCTGTGAATGCTCAGGACACTGATATGCTGCTTAGAACTGCAAAGTGAGATTGTTTAGCATAAATATCTAACAGCAGGGAATGATACTGCATCATTTGAACAGCTAATGCATCTCTTAAGAGGATCATACTATAGCATAAGTTTGGAGAGAGTAAGCCATTGTTTTGAGAAGGGGATAGGGACTCTGTATCTTATTACTGCCTTTGAATTAGGCAGGATTCATAACTATATACTTGCAGTAGGCTGAATTTCTGATTTACTGCTGCTCTCTCAAGTGAAGAGAAGACTGACTGGATCTGGAACATACAAACATTGAAGTTATTTACTCCCCACCATATTGAAATTACCTCTGAGGTTGAAAAAAGCTGAGATGCAACATTCTGTTGCAGAATTAACAGTAAACTGCAAGATTGTTGTAGCTTACTAGCTAAATGCTGTGACTTTTCTGAAGCACAGCCAAAAATGCTAATCTGACAGCATTTCCTCGTTTCAGTGTAACAGTAATCTCTCTCTTCTTGCTAATTATTTTTACTACTGGTTTACTCCAGGAGCTGAATAATGAGATCAACATGCAGCAGACAGTGATTTATCAAGCCAGTCAAGCTCTGAACTGCTGTTTTGATGAGGAGCATGGAAAAGGGTCACAAGAGGAAGCAGAGGCAGAGAGACTGCTTCTCGTTGCAAGTAAGTTTTTTAGACTTGGGTTCAATTCTTTGTCTTTAACAGTTTGGAAAGAATTGAAGAACTCTTGCAATGCATTTATTATGCTACCTTGTAGCTGCTTATTTATAGTTTTTCATCTGGAAAATAGAGTATAGTATGTGTTCTGCCTCAGCTTCTTCTATAGGCAAGAGGACACTTTTTGTATCTTTCTTGTCCCTAATATTCCTACTGTTCTGGAAGATGATGAACATTTCTGTTGCATTTTACATATGACAAAAAAATGTGTTCAGTAACTACTCTTTCCTCTGTTACAACTATACTTAATTTCTCTATGCAGCTGAGAAGAGAACTGCTTTATTGGAAGAACTTAATAAACTGAAGAGTGAGGGACCTCCTAGTAGAAGAAATAAAGCTTCTATATCCACTGAATTTGCTCCATCCAGGGGATCTGTTTCCATTTCAGAAATGCGTCTACCTCTAAAAGCAGACTTTGTATGTGGTACAGTTCAAAAGCCAGGTAAAAACAGCAGCTGAAAGCTTTACCCCTTCTCTCCCCATTCCCCCCTCCTCTCTATGTATATTTCTAGTTTATTCTCCGTAGGTTTTTGTCTTTTGTTCGTGTTTCTCAGAACTTGGGGGGCAATAAAAATTTAGCAATTTCATATAATCGATCTGCTTTTTGTTTTTTTGTAGTTTCCAGTATTTTTCCCTGGTCATTCTAGTAGCATCCTTTTCTGGCTCTTGAGGTTCAAGAAGCTCATCGAGACCTTCCCAATCAATCTGTGGTCCTCTGACCTGTTGGGAGGAAGTAGAATTTTGTACCTCTTGTTGTCTTCTCTCCTCCTTCTTGCCTCACTAAAACCTGAGGACAAAAGTCATTAGGCAAAGTATTGTTTAATATTGGTTGTAAAACTTCTACTAATTAATTAATGTGGCCTTTCTTGTTTAACTGTTCTATGAAATGTAAAGTGCATTTTTGTATCTTCAAGTATAACCACAGCCAAGAATATAAATGTAAGTATCTGACCTAATTTAACCCCTCAACATGCTACAGTTCTTGTTGCACGAGACGATCTCTGTTATAGCAAAGCCTCTCAAATTGTTACAAAATAAGTTTAGTTTTTGCTGGGTAATTCTTGCAATGAAATTGTCTGAACAAACTAGAACTATTTGTCATCAGACCTTTATCCCATAAGCACAGCATTTTGCTGTACATCGTGCACCAGAATGAGCTCTATTAATCTTTCATCTCTGAAGAGAAATGTAAGGAGTACAAATCAATGCTTACTGAAGTTTTCACCAGCTGTTTTGAAAGCTGTGACTTGTCCTACACAGCAGAGCATCCAAACTGTTTTGGTTTTTTGTTTGTTTTGTTTTTTTTAGCATGGTATTGTATTATGCAATGCTTTTGCTCTACTGTTCATCAATTTGCTGCACAACCTCCAAATCATCTCTTGACACTATTGAGATGTGCTCTTGTAGTCGTCTTTCTTTTCCCCTTTATGTGGAAAGTTGAGGAAATGAGTTGACTGGATAACCAGTTCCTTCATAGGACTGAGAAAAGGATGAGAATGGGAAGTAGTGAAAGCTGATGTACACTTAACCTGGCAGGCCTGGAGAATAACAACAGAGTCTAAGGAACAAAGATTTACATCTGAACCTGACAAAGTTCTTTCTCTCACCTCTCATGCACTGGGTAGTGTAGGTCTGGCCTGAGATGTCTCAGGCAGTAATGCAGTTGCTGTGAATCTAGTCTTACTAGTAGACACAGTAGGAAAAAAAAATAATCTTGTTTTAAGAGCAAGTTTATAAGCAAATCCTGACTGTAATCAGGTGTTTGAGGTGAAACAGGGGTGTGTTTAGTGGCAATGCAGTACTTGAGGGTTTCTAGATACGTGGACGCCTCTGGCTAATAAAGCTATCTGATATATATTTACAGAAGCAGCAAATTACTACTATGTAATAATACTGAGATCTGGAGCAGAAAACATGGTTGCAACTCCGTTAGCAAGTACTGCCAGCTCCCTGAATGGAGATGCTCTCACGTTTACCACGACATTTACTATGTAAGTACAAAGAAGCTGTTTTGGAACCCATTTCAACTCTGATGGAGCACACCTAAAAATATTTAGAATCTTCATAGAAGGATGACGTTCTGCAAAGAGATATGGTGAGATCTTGTGGTATGGGTATTTCCTCCTTCAAGGAGTACCTGAGCTGCACTTCTCTCAAAAGAGCAATCTAGACTTATTCCACCATCCATCCACTAATGTATCTTGTTTTTTCTGCTTTTGTTCTCTTCCTGAACACCTGCAATGACAGATGGTTTGCTCTACCTGTGATGGTGTGTTTTTCTCCTTTGCAGCAACTAACATTTTAAATAGTTATTTGATTTTGGTATCTGGAGAAAAAAATAGTACTCTTAATACTAAAATTTCAACTCTCACATGTCAGCTAAAATGATGTAGTGAGGTTAAATGGCTGTTTGTTAGTGAAAGTCTTCCAAAATAAATAAGCAAACCCCTTCTTTTTAAAGTCCAACTCAACTGGAATTTTCACTTAAAGCTATTTACTCAAAAACAATCTCTATTTAGAAATACATTGCCAGCAGTGAACTGAATGATGCAATCTGGGAAATGGTAAATGCACTCTATCTGCCCCTTGCCCACCCTCCCCTTTTGTTCTAGAAAGTACCTTGATAGTAATACCCTTAAGTCTTGAAAACAGCAATGCTGCTTGCACTGGAGATTACTAGTGTAGAAGTGAAAGTATCTCAGACAGCTCTATTGACCTGCAGGAACAGACCATGATTTACTAGTAAGAGATTAGCTTTTAGTCAGCACCATGGCTAAGCTTCTTGAGTAGAACCTAGCTCCTAGCAGCTCCCTAGAGAGTTTTAAGGAACAGAGGGAGGAAAGAAGTAATAAGTAACTTTAAAAACAAACAAAAAAAAACCCCCCTTTTTTTCTTCAGTCTGTGTTTAACTTATTTTTTTTCCTGCCTTCTCCCTTTTAGGCACGATGTGTCAAATGACTTTGAAATAAATATAGAAGTTTACAGTTTGGTATGTATCATTTCCTGTCGAGAAGATGTAGGAAGGAGAATGATGTGTTGTACTTTCTTAATACCTTCTTGCCTTACAGGTGCAGAGAAAAGAAGTTACAAGCACTGATAAAAGGAAAAAGGCAAACAAATCGAAGGTAAATGAAACCTGAAAATCAGTGTGGTGTATTTCCACAGAAGGTATCCTAGGAAGACTGCAGTGTTCAGGGAGAACTGACTGATAGTCTTAGACAATCTGTTGGTTGCTTTTACTCTTCTTGTTCTTTCTTGGAACATCTGCAATGGCAGATGGGTTATGGAGTCCTGCCGCTATTAGTAGATTGGACTTGCAGCACTTGGTTGAGTCTGAAATATATTGGAGGGGAAGGGAAAGGAGTCTTGCTATTCTGCAAAATTCTGGGCTTTGCAAATTTTTATTAGGTGTGGTGCCTCTGATAGTGATTTAGGGCTGTTATTTTCCATTTTACTTAAACTACACCAGTCAATATGTGCTGCCCTGAGTCTAATTTGTCTTAAAGGTTCTATTGATCAGCTGCAACATTTTTCTTTCCCAGTATTAAGTAAAAGCACTAGTTGCTTATTTTTAAAGCATATGTTTTAGTAACTCCTTGGAGATAAAGATTTTTGCTTGGATAGGGTGCACATTTCAAGTGTTTGTGCTTGTATTGTTAACTCTTATCTTTAATAAGCAAATGTCACTTTGAAGCCCTGTTATGAAGGAAAAACATCTACTAGGATTGGTTTTTAAACACAAGCTGTCCATGCTAAGCTAATGCATACTTTTCTGTGGTAAATATTTCTTTGATATATAGTATTCCTTTGACTGAAAGATGTTGCATTCAGCCTGGGTTCAAAAAAACCAAGACTTAGTCATAACAACAACCTAGTATACATTAAACATTAATTCAGATGATAAGCCTTTGGTAATTTCACTGTCTAATTTTCATGCTACTGTGATGGACAAATTTGCTAGCAGATACATTTATCTTCTTATATTCTTTTATAGGTTATTACTCCAAAGAGACTATTAACATCTATTACCTCTGTAAGTATGAATGTAATAACGTAAAAAATCTGGTGATGACCACTTCCAAAGGCCTTGTTCTCACACTGAATGAGGCTGTGCCCATAGCAGGGTCTTTGTGTCCCTTCCTTGAAACTCTATAAACTGTCCAGCTTTCTGCCAAATTCTTCACCCATGAGCTCAAGAAATAGGTAACAGATCTAAATACATAATGCTGGAAATATCCAGTTTCTACACATCTATTTGGACTTTCTTTTCAAGTTGCTTACTTTTTTAAGTACTTCGGATCTAGTTTCTTTCTAATCTAGCTTAGTCTTCTGTAGAAATTGTCAGAAGTTACTTTTCCACTAAGCTTTTATTTCTCTTTTTCTCTCTAGAAAAGCACCCTTCTTACTCCAGGTAAGTAAAATCTAAATATCTTATGCCAAGATGAATAATCTGCACTTGCTGTCTAAAGAAATATATCAATAAATAATATTTGTAACAAATTATGTTTGGGAATAATAATAATAATAATGAGTTTATAATTTGGGAGTAATAAACACACAATTACATCGGTTTGCCAGCCCAGAAACTGGCCCTTGTTTATATCTGAGTTATGTTTAATGGAAGATCTCTTTGCAAAATCAAAATTAGTACCTGGTATCAGATGCCTGTGGTTCACATTCCTTTCCAGAAAAGTGAACTGAAATGAATTTTAAGATTTTAAACTAGCGTCTGATGTCAACGAAGTATTACAGAGCAAACTTGGAAATATGAACAGATTCTGAAGTATTGCTTGTGTGTAGTGTTTATAACATGTTTATATATTCCTGAGTCTTGGGGGAGAAGAACAGCAGCTCTGAGTGTTTTTCTGACTGCATAAAAATGTGTTACACTTGTCTGACTGCAGTTTGAGATCCTTGAGCTAGCTTTAGTACAAATTGCAGCCGTAAGGAGCTCATGAACTATTTCTAGAACGTCTACCATCCTGCTGCAACTAGTCAGATGACTGTGCTTGAGCTACGGTGCTTGTTTCTATCAATACAAGTGCAACCAGGAATACAGACATACACATTCTGGAACGCTGCAGTGTTTCACTTAAGAAAAGGTTAAGAGATTGAAAGTCAAGTTCCTACTGCAGGCCATGTGTGCTTCGTAGTGTGCCCTCAAGTGCTCTCTGGCTCCCTAGGACAACTTAAAACGCTTTGTCTTCTACTTTGTGAATATTTCAAAACTTCTTTCTGAAAGAAAAGATCTACTGAGAAGGAATGGTGTGCATCAAGATCCTGTCTGAATGTGCTGCTGGGCTGCCTTGCAAAGAGTGCTTCTCCTGCAGTATTGAGTAGGGCGCACATAGAGTAGTACAAATAAAGCCTTTTTAAGCCTTGCAGCATCCTGATTGTGTCTTGTGTTACGACTTTCTCCACAGTCATGGCCAGTCCAGGTGGCCCTAATGCTATACGCACTACTAATTTCATCCTTGTTGGATCCCACAAGCTTTCACTGTCTTCTCTTGGAAATACCAAATTTGCATTGGACAAGGTAATGGAAGTTACTAATGGTTACTAATCCAAAGCTAACTGCATACTACTAGAAAAATGAGTAAGTTTGAGTTTGCTGTTTTCAGGTGAAATGACCATCCTAGAAATTGAACATACAGGTTTTTATATACATTATTTATTTTATATATATTTATATATTT